CCCTATTCGAGAATTATTTATTTCGTGAGAAATGTTTTGGTTTGGCCCGCGTTCGAAGCAGAGGCATCGAATTTCAATCGGGAAAATTATTCGAAAAGACTCGCCTCTATACCCGATAATAGGATCACAATTGAAAAACATCTCGTCGCCCTATATTCATATGGCGCTACTGAACCACTTTTTTAATTATGGACATTCGTTTAATTATTGTACTTATAGTTTTTTTTTTATACATACAACTCACGTACTTCATTATTTTTTTTTCTCGTTATCTAAACTCTATATGTATGTACATATTCTAGATGCGGGCACGAAGGAACTCGTCCGTCTATTCTATTCAATTTCCTTTCATTCGTCTCTCGTGGTCTATCGAACGTTTCGGCGCGAAAAAAGGAAACAAGATGGCGTATTTCAAAATTCTGAATGAAAATTGATATTCGTTTTGGGGAGTAAAAAAAAAAAAAAAAAAAAATTAATCAAGATTACAATAATTTCATTGTACAAAATATGTCCTGTAATAAATAGGAAATATGTTTAAAAAAAGTAGTAAGTTTAAAAAAAATAAAGATATAAAAATGTATCTTATTTGATCTCCTTTACGAAATGTAATGAGTTTCGTATCGAATAATTTTAAAAATTTTTCAAATTTGTTATTTATTTTGTTCATTATATTTCTGTGATCTACGAATAAGAGTATGAAATATAAATGAAAAAAAAAAAAATGATATTAGATCTTATCCATTCTTCAAAATTTGTTTGAAATATTGAAATATTATAATTCCAAATAAATTTGTTATATTCTAGTTTAAAATAATGATTTATTGATAAGATAACCAATTTATTTATCTTCTTTGAAGATAATCAGAAACAAAATGACGGATTGTAAAACTCGTTGTATTTCGCAAACAAAATCAAATAAGACATATATTTATATGAACATTTTTCCTCGTTTCTCACTTAAATCAGTTCATGAAAAATTTTTCCCACTTATTATGATTGTTTCTATATATGACTAGAATTATAATTCTAATAATAGAGAAAAGTGAAAAATGATTTTACGTTTTAAAAAAATAAAATGTGTTTAAAAAAAAAGAGATAAATGTAGAAAAATCACGTATCACGTTCGTAGGCGTATCGTTCTAACGATCTTTTCTAAAAAAAAAAAAAAAAAAAGACATGTGTACATCTTTTCTTTTCTCGAAATAACGTTTTTATCCCTATATACACGAGTAATTTACAAGTATTGAATCTTTCCCCTCTAATACCAACGACAACAAAGAAACGTAACGAGAAAGAAAAAATAAGGGAAAAATGAACGAAAGAAAAAAAGAAAGAAAGAAAAGAAAAACGAAAAAATGTCTGTGTGTATGTGTATACATATTTATATATAATATATATCTATATTTCGATTAAATTTTCTCTTTCGTTTTCGTTTCAACTTTATTTCCAATGCTCATATATATTCGTCGAGCATTACCATTGTATCTTTTAATTTCTCTTTTTTCTTCTTCTTCTTCTTCTTTTCTTTTTTTTTTTTTTTTTCTCTTATGTACGTGTATATGTGTCCTTTGATTCTTAAATGCTGTACAGGAACATTTATACTTGTTTAATCGTTTTAATCGCTCGTTCGATATTTTTTGCGTTTTTTCACTTTTTGTATTCAATAATAATTATTTTTAATAACCTATATTTTATTTATAATACACTTATATCCTGTCAGAGTTAAGAGTTAATTTGTTACACCTATGTCCGTTTAAATAATTAACGTTAATATTCCGTCTCTCGAGTTGTAGCAGTTAATCAATTGATCAAGATAAGAAAGAACATAATGTTAACAAATTTAGAAAAAGAATGAGAAGTGAAATATAATTGACGAGCTTTCTGGAAAAAGATTTCAGTTCCATTTTCTTTTTTCCTTTTTTTTTTTTTTTTTTTTTTTTTTTCAATATATCTTAAATACAATAAAAAGATTATGATATAATTGTAATGAAAATGGCGGTTAACCTTCAAGTGGCGACTCCTAGACCATTATTAAAAAACTAATTAACTTATCTTTCAAAATTCATTTCTTTCCTCAAATATATATAACTCTTAATAATAATTATATATTAATGATATAACAATTTTGATAGAAAAAAAAATTTCTAAAGTATATAATATATATAAATTAGAATTTTTCAAATAGATTTTTACATGATGAATAGTGCCGTTTTCCATAAAGCTGATCAATTTTTTAGAAAAAAATCGTCTTAGAAAAAACAAACGACGCGGCTGTCTCGCTGTATGATTGGGCTTTCATTGTCTCTGTGAAATCGTGCATGTCGGCTGCTTATAGTATATCTGATGAATGCAGAACATGTGTGTGTGTGTGTGTGTGTGTGTACTTATGTTTATCGCGTGTATCGACAAGTGAAGAGAGCGCGCAAAGGACCCTGGCCCATCTTGAATAATGACTAGCTCAACAACGCGTTTTCTCGTTTGCAATCTTAAATCCCGGGCGAGGGAGGGGTAGGGAGGCAAGGCGGGGAGGATCAATGAACTGATTCGCTCTTTGAACGGCTTGGTCGGGAAAGTAGGTGAAAGCCTTTCCTGGACGGTCATGTTCTTTTTTTTTTTTTTTTTTTATTTTGTTTTCTCTCTAAAAATGTAACCGAACTTAAGAAAAAAAATTAACAACAAGAAAAATAGTCAAGTAATAATAATAACATTAATAATATAATAATAATAATTGGATAATAATTAGATAATAATAATTATTATAATAATAATGTAATAATAATAATAATAATAATAATAATAATAATAATAATAATAATAATAATAATAATAATAATAATAATAATCTTAATAACCTTAATAATAAACGTGGAAAAAAATAACGCGAATGAAAAAAAAAATTCTTCAAAGAACAAAAACTTTGCAAATTGAAAGTAAATAATCGAAAAAATTGAATACTCTTCATTCAAATTGAAATACTTTTAATCTCTCGATTCACTTTTTTCTCACTTTTTCTCCTTTCTTTCTTTTTTTTTTTTTCCTTTTTTTTTCTTTTAACTTAATCCCTGGTAGAAACGACTATAACGCATCGCGATATAATACTTTTTTGCTTTTTTCCCTTTTTTTTGTATTTACGTATGATTCTGTCGCTGCTACGTTTTCATCACGCGTCGATTGCACTGTAATTTTTTACTTTCATCTCTTCATTGTTAAACGTAACCGGAGGGAAGAAGAGGGGGGGGAAGGGAGGAAAAAAAAGGAAACGATTAAAAACGATTATAATAAAATAATGTTGAAATAAAATTCATAAAAGAGGGATACGGGAAGAATTTAAATACTAGTACGGTAGATATATCGATTAACATTCCTATCTATCTATTTATCTATTATTTATATATAAATTGTATTTTATATTTATATATATATAATATTTATATATATATAAAATAAAAACGAATATTAATATAGTTAATATCGTGAAATATAGAGACGGGGGGGGGGGGGGGCGAAGGAGCTTCGACAAAGTGTAAAAACGTGTAAGAACGACGAAAGACTTTGTTACCGACGGTGGGTCCTTCGCGCGGCACGCGGGAAATTCAAATCGATCGAACGATCGATCGTTCGTAATTAATCCCGATCAATCATAAAATATATATTTCACGAAACTTATCACCTATAAAGAGACAACTACTTGGAAACAGAGCACGTGATCGAAAGAAATATAATAATGAAATAGAACTTTTTTTTACATTGGATTCGTTTCACGAGCAGCGATCAATATATAAAACGATACTTTGTTTTTCGTGTCACCTTTTCGTGCCATCATTCGTATTAAATCTCTCTCTCTCTCTCTTTCTCTATTTCTCTCTAACTATCCTTCTTTCTATCTATCTTCTGTTCTCTTTCTCCTCTTTTTCTCTTTCTTTTTTTTTCCCCCTTTGATCTGCTTTGATCTAGCACGCACATCCTTCCTCTAAAAAATTCCATTACTTCTTTAATTAAATATAATTTTTCTCATATATATTTGTCATATACATTTGTCGTAATGTTAGTTACTTAAATGGCGTTTACCCGCCTAAGAGTATGTTGATTTTCGGCGTTTCCTTTCGCGGAATGGAGAGAGAACGTAAAAGTAATAAAAAAAAAAAAAGAAAAAAAAAGAAGAGAAAAAAAAAGAAATATCGATGAAAAAATTCATCTCGAAATTGGAGAGTCGCCGGAAACCACATTGTAAGGCTTCGTTCCTTCCTTTCGAAGGAGATATTTATTTTTTTTCTTTTTTTTCCCCTCTTTATGTATATATTTATATATTTATATAATATGTGTAATATATATATATGTATGTATCGTTTCGTCGTTTCATTTACGATCGAATCCTGTTCTATAATCAATATTTCGCTGTTTTCTCTCACTCTCGCGTCGTTCGTTTTCCCTCCTTCGACTTATGTATATATTTATATATATATATATATATATTATTATTATTATTCTGTTTAATTTTTCGCGAAATCAATGCCTCCTGGCGCGTGTGCACGTACGCTCGATCGATCAGGTGATCATCTGGTGCGTGCACACGCGCAATTATATCGATGTAGAAACAAAATATCAGTGAATTTTTCATTTAGTGTATATACGAGTATAAAAAACTTCGTTATTCGTTATATTGGGGTCAGTTTTTACTTTTGAATGCGCAGTGCATCCCTTGAAGATTTTTTTTGTCATGTCGAGATGATCGATTGCTGGTAGACTTATGGTCGAACAACCCTTCTGATATTAATCGTTGATTTTATTCAAATGTATAAATTAACTCCGTGAAAATATACAAATATATATTTTTTTTCTTTTTTTTTTTTTTTTTTTTGAAGATTCCAGTTTCTGAAATCTTTCATCGATTATTATAAGTAATAATTAATTAATTAAACAATTTGTGAAATAAATAATCGAATATCTTACATCTTAATAAAATTGAACAATAATACTGTAATGCTAAAAAAAAAAAAAAATCGTTCGTTCTCTAGAAATTTTTCTTTTCTAGAAATCTCTCTCTCTCTCTCTTTCTCTCCCTCCCTCTCTCTCTTTTTTTTTTTTTAACATCTTACTACTTATCTAAAAACTATACACAATAATATAAATATTTTTCTCTTTCGTAGGAACCAATAATCATTATTTCCCCCAACAGAATGACTTCAACAGTCGGAAAATGGCTTTGAAATGGGAATTCAATAAGAATTCCTCGATACGATACGATAATGGTATCGATTCGGCAAGAGATAATAAAATGAACGGTACCAACATCAAAAGAGTTAAATTATTCCATATCTGATGATATCATATCCACTGAACCGAGCAAGCCTACTACTCGTACGATATGAATTCGTTCGATTGGCACGAACGCGAAGAAATTTTACGATCCCGCAACTCGGGATATACTCGGTTTCCCAGGGGATCGTATAACTTCTAACCACGTTTCCCTCTGTATGCATAGTACGTGTATATAATATATGTACACATAATGGTACCAAGATCTTACGGAACATAAACCGCGATTCCCTGTTTCTCTCTCTCTCTATATATATATATATCTCTCTCTCTTTCTCTCTCTCTCTCTCTCGAGAACGTGTCTCGCGATGAACTGGTAAATTCTTCTCAATTTATTCTCGATCAGCGATCGCGTGGAAGAACACAGAAATCACGAATCGAATAAGACACTCGAGGTTAATGGAAGTTTTCCACGGAAATGGGAAATGTTTCCGGAAATTGGAAGGTGAAGTGGATATAATTGAAGGGTTGGAAAAAAAAAAGAAGAAGAAAGAGATATCGAAACAAAGGAAATGGTGGTGATTAATAACAAAGAAAGAATCTGAAATCGAGCGAGATCGACGAAAAAGCTCGATGAAAAAGCTTTGAAAAAGAAATGTCTATGCAGACAATTAAACGAAGGGGATACTTTGAAGTTTGATGGATTTTTTGAAAAAAAAATTTTTTTTCTAGAATTAGTTATTCGATATACTCGTATCTTGTTTTGGCTCTTTTTCACGGAAGTGTTAATGGAATTAGGCAAGAAAAAAAAGAAAAGAAAAGGCAGGATCAAGGAAGACCTCGTGTACCGCCGACCTCGAGTGTACGTTTCTCTCGCTGATCTTCAACAATTCGGCGGCCACTCCATCCTATAATCACGAATATTGCACTCAATTTTGTTCGCGACACATTCAACGAACGAAATAATCTTAATTAAACCAGATAAACATTATCGAGAAACACGTTCCCGAAACGAACACGATCATCTGATCATCGAAAGTGATATTTAACGAAAGTGAAGGACGAACACATTATGCGCGCGAGGAGGAGAAAATAAATTAGCGGAGCCAGAGAGAAACATCATCCACGACGAACGAAGTTCTAGCTTTTTTTCATTTCGTCATTCGTTTTTATTTTATTTATTTATTCATTTATTATTATTTTTTTTTTCTTTCGAATGCGCGTTTTTCATCTTCAAGGGATAGCACGAGGAGGGAGGAGGCGAGAAGAAGGGGACGAAATTCGTACCCATTCTTTCCATCAACCATGGCTGGGAACCGTACGAATTTCCTTTCTCCGACCCGCCCCTCCCTCTTTGATCCGCGTTCGATCACGCTCGCCTTTTCTCCCGATCTCTATCTAGCTCGACGAAAACCTACGTATCGGAGGAGATTCGCAGAGGAGGATGAAATAGAATCGAGTCGATCCTTCCTGTGTCACCGACGACGACGACGACGACGACGACGACGACGACGACGAAGAGAACGACGAAGACACATTGAAACACATATGCATCTCTCTTGTTTCTCCTTATCGATCTTGCTCAATGTGATCATCAAGGCCGTTTTACGCGAGAAGCTCTCTTGTTCCTTCCTCTTTTTTCTGTCCTTTTACTCTCTTTCTCTATGTCTATCTCTCTCTCTATCTATCTATCTATCTATCTCTTGTTACCTCTTCCATTTTTCCATTTCCTTTTATTCATTTATTTATTTTTTTTTTTCCTCGTTTCGTCTGTCGTTTTCCATTTCTTCTTCTCTATCGATCCCTCGTCGAGTATCTTCAAATCTTCTCTCAAGACTTTTTTCTCTCCCTCGTCCGCACCATCATCTGCATCTGTCTGCCGGTTGTTCTAGCTCCTCGCCTCGTCGTGATACACACATCCGCTAAACGAGAAGGAGTAACTAGGGCGTCGCAGGCGATGTGATCGCCATCAAGGGCGCTGGCGGCAACGCGACCGGTATGTGATAATATTTACACTGGGGTCGCATGCACGCGCCCTTCACTGCGTCCCTGCACACGGTCACGCGATTCTCGATCACCTCCACGTTTCCTGGAAAATGTTGGAATTGGATTAACAGTTAGAGATTGGATAAAAGAAAAAACAGTTAAGAGTTAGAGATTGGATAAAAGAAAAAAAGAAAACAATTTTTTTCGAGAATTTTTCTCAGCTTCACGACGATCCCCGTGAATAAAAATTATTTATGATTATATTATGTTTTATCGATACATATTCTTTTTTTTTTGCAACAAGCTTTTTGTTCGCAATTCGCTTGAAAATATCCGCACGCATGATTAATTTTACGTTAACGATTGTTTTGTTAGCGATTCGCGGTTATAGACGATTCAGAACCGAATTGTAAAATTTTTAACGGTAATTCGAGTAAATCGAGTAATTTGTAACTTTGATAAAGTTGCGTTCGAAACAGCGGTGACCAATAGATTTGTCATCGTGATCGTATATTGCGAACACGATCGTTTTGCGGTGGATGCGCGGTCGTCAACGGCAAAATGGCCGCAAAATACAAATACCATCTGACCAGAAAATCGATTCGACACGTAAGGAACGTATATATCAAATATAAACTATTAACAATTGGTATAATATTATCTCGCAACTTATTACTCGGGTTTAAAAAGTACGCACAAACACTGTACACGTGACAGATGTTTCATCCAATGCATTTAATGATACGTAAATAACAGCTTGCATTAACTCATCTACGTTTCGTAGCTAGAAAATCGTCAACGATATATAAACAAAAATAGAATAAAACAAAAATCACGAAATGCGGAATGAAAAGTGTAAAAGAAATATTTAACAAAGGTAAAAAAAATAAGAAAAAGAAAGGGATACATATATATATATAAAAACAAGCTTCACCTTCCATTACTTAAGGGAAGGGAATTAACACACCGCGCCGCGTAGCGGTAGATCATGAAAACTCACCGTCACTGAGATGGATAAACTTGCAGGCGGGACGGTTGCACACTTGTCGATTAAAATCTTGGCACACCGGGAGGGTGTCCAGTAACTGAAAGAAAATATGCCAGATACTTTTATTACGGACACTTCGCGAAATCGATCGCGAACGATAGTTACAAAGGAAAAGGAGGAGGGGGAGAAAAAAAAAAAACAACTCTCACAGTGTCTCCCATCAGAATCACTCGTCCACAGTCACGCGCCATTCACGCGTTTCACGCAACAAGGGCAGAAGACAAGTGTCCTGTCTTTCTCCCCACAATCACACGCATATGTTCTTTTTGAAAAATTCATTGGACACGCACATTCAAACTCATTTCAGTGTTAGAGCATATTCACGGTACATTACATGCTCTAAAAAATCGGATCGTATACGTATATTAATTAATTGCTACTGGTGCGCGAATAATCGACATATAGAAACAGGTATTGTTATTCAATGATTTTTTTTCTTTTACGAATTTTTTTTTTTTTTTTTTCTTATTTTTCTTTTCTCGTTATTATTTCTAAAGAATAATGGATTTAAGAAGGTCGATTGCTCGCGCAGGTCGAATTAAGAGGGAAATTTGCAGTAGAACTTTTCTGTATTCAAAAAATGATCATTCCCTATTTCTATTTATCGTGACATTGTACTCTAAAAATTGATTGCTCTTTAATTTCTTTCTTTTCTTTTTTTCTTTTTTTTTTTTTTTTTCACTAGATCATCGGGCAAGTCGATAAATCAGCTTGCTTCTGATCGTGATCGTTTTCACGATACGACACGAATACACGATACAAGTTTCAAAAATTGGTGAGATTCGAATGGGCGAGAACAAAGGACTCGTTTTTTTTTTTTTTTTT